AGACCAAGTTGTGGTCAGTAGTTCTTGAGAAGACTAAGAACAATTGTTCTTAGTGGTTGCTATTGTAATCAGTTTGATTAATAGTGGATTAAGTCCTTGTAGAGAAATGCAAATCACTCTTGATAGGGTGGACTGGATTAGTTGTGTTCAACAAACCAGGATAAAAATCATTGTGTTTTTATTGCCATAATATTTTCTATATACTTATTCAACCCCCCTTCTAAGTATTTTCTCACCTTCAGATTATAGCCAGGAGGAGGGGACATGTCAAGTTCTTCATGTAAGTCTCCATGGGGAAAGGCGTTGTTTACGTCCAATTGCTCCAAATTCCAACGTTTTATAGCTGCAAGAGACAAGAGAACTCTGACAGTAGTTATTTTAGCAACAGGTGAAAAAGTGTCAAAATAATCTACACCCTCTAATTAAGTATAACCTTTAGCAATCAAGTGAGCTTTGTATCGTTCAATAGAACCATTGGCATAGTATTTAACTCTGTATACCCACTTACAACGAACAAGAGTTTTGCCTAAGGGAAGATCCATAATGGTCCATGTTTGGGTGTCCTCGAGAGCTTTAATTTCATAATCCATTGCTTGTCTCCAACAATCATGTTTAGAGGCTTGAAGGTATGTTTTTGGTTCAACTATAGAGGATATGGAGCAACAAAAGGACTTGTAAGAGGGAGAGCATTTTGCATAGGAAAAAGAGTAAGAGATAGGATAAGGGGTGGTATGGGCAATGGGGGTAGGTTCATGTGAACTGGAGGTTGTAAGGAGGTTACAATGAAAGTCTTTAAGATATTGTGAGGGGTTTCTGGCTCTAGTAGATTTTCTAGTAGGAGGCACGATTTGAGGTCGAGGGTTGTGTAAACTACTAGAAATATGTGGTGTAGGTAAATTGTGTTGAGGTTCATGGTCAATAACAATAGGCTGTGAGAAACTAGGTGATGCAGGGAAAGTAGAAGGATGTGGATTTGACAAGTCAAAAAAAGATGGTGATGCAGGACTGTCATGAGAGATTGGGACAAATTGGACAAGAGAAACAGGTAGGTTGTCCACAGCAGGTGATAAAGTAAGGCATGTGTCATAGGTAGTATCTGTTGGATTAGAGCATGGATCCTGTTTTGGGAAACAAGTTTTTTGAAAGGGAAATGGTTCTCAAAGAAAATTACATTTCTAGAATGGAACAAGGCATGTGACTGGAGGTCATACAAGATGTACCCTTTGGTACCATCTTTGTACCAAGGAAAATGGCCTTTCTGGTCCCAGCGTCAAACTTGGGACGATGAGCCTGCAAGGTTGTAGCATAACACAAACAACCAAAAACCTTTAAATGAATCATAACAGGAAATGTTTTGAAGAGAACCTTATAGGGAGACTTATAATTGAGGAGAGGGATAGAAATTCGATTAATGAGGTAGATTGTATGTTGTATGCTAAAGGTCCAAAGGTTTAAGGGTATGTTAGAGTGAAAAGCAATGGTTCTTGTAACATTTAAGACATGTTGGTGTTTGCGTTCAACTATCCCGTTTTATTGAGGGGTTTCAACGCATGATTTCTGGTGAATGATTCCTTTGGAAAGAAAAAAGGATTGAGGGTTGAAAATTCTGAGCCATTTTCAGATCTAAAACACTTAAGGGATGTGTTGAATTGATTTTCAATTAAGGGAACGAAGTGTAAGATAATTTGTTTTGTTTCAGACTTAGCCTTAAGGAAACTGACCCATGTAAATCTAGAAAATTCATCAACAAGGGTTAGAAAGGGTTAGAAAGTACCTATGACCAAAAAGAGAATTAGTAGCTAAAGGACCCCATAGGTCAGCATGCAGTAATTCAAAAGGAGAATGAGTAGTAGTAGTGCTATTAGGAAAAGGTAATTTCTTTAATTTGGCAAAATGACAAGAGTCACAAGGATCCATATTATTTTTACAAGGAATAACAGGAAACTGTTTTGACATATATTGCATACCAGAATTAGAGAGGTGGATTAATCTTAAATGCCACAATTCAAAGGAATTGGAAAAAACAGAATTAAAAGTATTATGAATAGCACTGGAATCCATGACATAAACGCCTATGTGCAATTTAGTTGTACCAATCATTTGCTTCAAATGGTTCTGTAAAATATTACACAGGGTCGAGGAAAAATTCAGAAAACAATCATTTGTGGTGGTTAATTTTGTGACTGAGATTAGATTGACATGAAAATTGGGAATGTATAAAACATTGTAAAAGGTTAAGGATGGTGAAATAACTATGGTGCCTGATATGGAAGCTGTGAGGTGAGAACCATTAGGTAGGGATACAGATCTAGGTGAAAAGAAATATGGTCAATTGCTCCAGTGTTTAGAATCCAAAGATTGGGGTTCTTACCAGTATTATTGAGTGATTGAGAGGATGAAGCAAAGGGTGAAGTAATGATGGCATTTGCAGTGCTTGTAGGTTGAGATTGTTGAAGCAAGGCGCGAAGACTCTGAAATTCCTCTTGAGTAAACCCAAACACAGATGTGGAAGATCCCTGAGACAGAGTAGTGGTGTTTGAAATGTTGTTGGCATGCAATTGTGAAGAACCTTGAGCATTAGATGAACCTTGAGCATTAGATAAAGTCTCGGTTCGTTGTCTGTAATTTGGTGGATATCCATGTTTCACAAAGCAAGTATCCACAGTGTGATTGGTTCGCCAACAATGACTGTACACTCTATTTCCTCCTTTGGTTGAAGAGTATGGTCTTTGTCCTTTGTCTGCTGCCATTCCTCTGCCTTGAGTAGTGCTGTGAAGAGCAGTAATTGTGGCTTCAGAAGCATCCAATGGAGCAGTGGAATTCAGTTCATGCTCTTGTTGGATATCCAAGGAGAACACCTTATCAATGTCAGGGAGAGGTGTCATCATCATGATTTAAAATTTGGAGTGGGAAAAACAATCATTCAATCCTTTCAGAAACCTAATGACATAATCTTGTTCACGATAGGTTTGAGCATATGAAATAGCACCACAAGAACATGCAACGGCACATGTGCAGCAAGGAAGGGGACGATAGTTTTCTCCAATTCATCCCAATATACTTTCAATTGTGTGTAATATTCAGAGATATCGAAAGTACCTTGGTGGAATTGATACAAATCTTCTTGAATATTCGAGATACGAAAGATGTCGCTATGTGAAAACCTAATCTGTAAATTCTTCCAAACACCAGACATTGTATGAATCCATAACACATATTTTGCAATCGATTCAGAAATTGAACGCTAAATCCCGGAAAGTACCATTGTATTGCAGCGAATCCATTGCGCATAGAGAGGATTGGATACTAGAGGTTTGAGAAATGTACCGTCAACAAATTTCTCTTTGTTCTTGAAAATCTACGCAATGTGCATTGATCTTGACCAAGTGTGGTAGATTTTGTTGTCCAATTGTGGAGCAACAAGAATGAGCGTTGGACTTTCATTCGGATGAAGATAATAAGAGTTTGCAGAGTTCGTCATAAAATCAGAGAAGTTCTAGTGACCCATGGTGAATCCGATTGAAGAAAGAAGTTGCAAAAGTTACAGTGAGAAAGATCAGTAAAAGAAGCCGACAAAGAGGCAACTAGTGCAAAAAAATCAATCGAAAAAGACGAAAGAATGAAGAAAAATGGTCAGCAGAGCTCATACCATGTAGATAAGAGAGAAACGGTCCATTAAAGAAGAAAAGATACAAAGTGTAATGTAAATTATTGTCATTATCTTCATTCAACTAATGTGTTACATCCATATATACAAACCTGATAAGGGGCTCAAGACTAAAATACCAGCTAATTAAATATAACTAACTAAATACAGCTGGCAGTAACAAATTAATAACCACCTAACTAATTTTGATAGAGTTATGTTGATAACTTACTATTTGATTATCTCTCACTTGGGCCATTTGGTTAGCAAGAAACGACACTTAGTTTGGGGGTCATATGGGAGTTGAAGATATTTTTTATTTTGCCAAGAGACTCGCAGAAAGTTGGCTAAGTGCTAAGCGTTGAATTTTTTTTATCATTACCATCTTTTTACAAACTTATTTTCAAAATACCACAAGTTTCAACAAATATATCAAAATGCCATGGTTTCAAAAAAATTGATTTTTTGGCACAAGGGTGCCGCCCATTCAATGGGCGGCAGTGTCTTAATTAAAACTTAAAAGAAAAAATCAAACTTGGTCACTGCCGCTCATTAAAAGGGCGGCACCTTTAAAAAATATGACACTTCCGTCCATTGAATGGACGGCACCCTTGTGCCAAAAAAATATTTTTTTTGAAACGACGGCACCCTTGTGCCAAAAAAATATTTTTTTTGAAACGGTGGCATTTTGGTATATTTGTTGAAACTTGTGGTATTTTAGAAATAAGTTTGTAAAAAGATGGTAGGGATGGAAAAAATTCCTAAGCGTTTAGGTCCGGTAGATTTTGATGTAGAAATATGGCATTAATTTGGGGTGTGTTGCTTGCCATGTTTTTCCTCTTTGTATTCGGGTTGAGTTTAAACTCTTCAAACAAGTTCAACTGTTCATAGGTTTGTAAGGAACGGCAGCAGTCAAAATCAAAAGGTGTGACCAGAGAGACAAGAGTCTCAATTTTGTTTTTGTTTATTTGCCTACGATACGTACTAGTCACATATACTAGTATGTACGGTACTTATTTTCACTTGTGCACACTACATAAAAATCCGTGATTTTCTCAATGTAAATGAAATAACAAAAATACGTGATTTTCTCAATGTAAATGAAATAACAAAAACACCATAAACGAAAAAAAAAAGAAAAAAGAAAAACAAATGTTTAATGCTACTACCATTTGTGAGTAATTAACTAAAACACGGTTCAAAACCTAAAACCTATTCACTAAACTGTACATCAACATAGTAGAGTAGAATCAAACCAAAATCCACAACATGCAAAAAGGTTAACTAAAAACAAAACAATTGAACCACTGTTATGTCTGTCCTCTACACCGTCCAATCCCAACCGCCGCCATGTTCAAACTAGCGGTGCCGGCAAGTTAAGGTCAAACAAAAACGGCTTCTTCTTCTCCTCCTCCTTCGCCTTACTCGCCACAATATTCTCCAACTTGTAACCTTTGTATTCCGACCTAACCGGAGCACCCGCCGTGAAACAAACCGGAGGACCCCAAAACACGACCTGTCTCCCACTACCGCCGTCGAGGGATGGAGGCATTGGAAGAATGGTAGGAGCGACGAAGTATGAGAAGTTGGTCTTCGCTTTGGGTCCACGGAGAGCCCTGGCAGCATCGTCGTAGGCTCTGGCTGCTTCTTCTGCTGTGTCAAAAGTGCCTAGCCACTTGCGGGTCTTTTTCCATGGATCACGGATCTCGGCGGCGAAGCGGCCCCATGGACGCTTCCGGACGCCTCTGAAATGGGACTCCTTTGAAGATGATGGTTTGGACGACGGTGCTGGAGAATCCGTCGGGATAGAAAGCGAATGAAGGTGCATGGGTAAAAGAGAGAGTTTGTATAGGGAAGTGTGTGTTGTGTGTGAATGAATTATTGTTTGTGAAGTGTGAATATGGATTGAGGTTGTGTGGGGGACTGGATATAAATAGAGTAGGGACAGTCTGCGTTCACGCCGACAGGTTTTCTTTCTGGTGGTATTAAGAATCACTTTTTTTTTTAGAATACTTCTTTTTCTCTTTCAATATACTTCTCCCTTTCTTATTCTTACATTATTTTCAATATATATATATATATATATTTGAAATTACAGTATGTCTTTTTTATAACACTCAGTAAGTTAAGAGACCGATATTTTGTCATACTACTGGTTCGCGAAGATTTTATTCAAATAATCAATTTTCTTAAATAAATATTTAACTTAATTCATTTTTTCAACTATTTTTTTAAACTAATTCACTTTTAAAAAAAAATAAAAATTTAATAATGAGAAGTCGTCAATCTAATTGACGACAATGTATAAACACAATACTTGAATTGATTACTCATCTTATGTGTTTATACATTGTCGTCAATAGGATTGAAAACTTCTCTTTAATTAAAGTTTGTACACAATTTCTAAAACAATATTTTTTAATTTAGTTTTTAACTTGTGTCTCAAGGACACAAGTTAGCAATATTCTATTTTCAAGTATTTATTATTAATTATTCTATCAACTCTTTTAATTTATCTATTCTGTTTAATTATATCAGATATACTGTAAAGTCATAAATAATATATTTTTTCTATAAAATAATAATTAAGTTTTTTAATTTGTGTGAAATATCCAAAACGTCTTATAATTTAAAACAGAGAAACTATTAATTAAGAAAAACTTATAGCAATAATAGACCCTTCTTTACTTCAAAAGATTATAAAAGATAAAAATAATTAATATGTTTCAACAATAATAGTAGGGATGGCAAAACGGGTCATGGCCCGTCGAACCGACCCGCGCACCGCCAAAATATGGCGGGTTGGGTTAGAATTTTAAGTCTGCTGCCCACCAAAGTCCGCCTCGCTAAAGACCGCCACCCGCCAAAGTCTGCCGCCTACAAAAGTCTGTCGCATCTATTCGTTTAACTTGTCCCACCTTAAACCCTCCATTTTTTAGTTAATTCTAGTAATTCCAATTCTTGATGATTTTATTTTATACATTTATTTGAAAATATATGAAATATTTTTTGAAGTAAAATTTGTTAAAATGATGTTTTATAAAAGTTGTTCTAAAAAATCTAATTGAAATGTAAAAGAAAATCAGTAAGGTTTTCTTCGTGCTTTTGGAAAGCCACCTTATTATATTCTTCCTGCCGAAGGTCCTCGTCAACCTCCATCGAAGTTTCCTGAGAGACTTCGACCATGTTCACATCCGCGCTGGCCTTTTCGACAATGTCCAACTCTTATAGTTTCACCCTAAGGCCCTCAATAGCCCTCAGTAGCCTCAGTCAGATTATCTATCTGCACGAAACCCTCAGTGGTTTCTTTATTGTTATCATCGAATTGGTATCTTTAATGATTCCTTTGATGGAACGTTCAGTGACTTCATGTCCGCAACTATCAGTAGTTTGTTTCTCGAAACCCTCAATAGTTTCAGTGGTGAAGCCTTTAGTGACTTCACAGAGGACGCTTTCAACGATCTCTCTGTTGAGGTTTTCAGAACCTTGACCATGACCGCTTCATTGGTGAAATCCTCAGTGATTTTGACCATGTTAATTACAGATGGCTTCGTGTAATAGGCATCGGCCACCTGGAGAGGGTTGAAATCAATCTTCATTTGAGCCTTTGACTTCTCTCCGAATTTGAGCCTCTTGTCTTTAATTGCATTTTGAACGAGATCAATGAAAAGAAAATATTGAGATGTTTTATGTCCTAAGAAATTATGACACATGCATAAACCTCTCTTTTTTCTTTGTTCTAACGAAGGCATTTTAGCACTTGGAGGCACTATCAATTAACCGTCCTTAACTAACAAATCGAAAATTTTATCACATTTTGTGACATCGAAAGTGTAAGTTTTCTCAGAAAACTTGTCATTCTTTTCTCAAGAAAGTGTAAGTTTTCTCATGAAATTTGTCCCTCTGTGGGTGTCGAGGAGGTTGTGGTACACCAAAACAATTAGCAATGTGCGTCATTTGCGCGGTCATTTGCTGGTTGGCTTGGGTAGTGTTTTGTATTAGAGGATTAAAAAATTTCCCCATTGTTTGGGTAAGCATCTGGACCATTTCATGGTTACTCTCATCCATTTGCTGCCTAATAACCGATGCAAAACTATTTGTTAATCCTGACATTTGGGTGGAAAAACCTATCCCTAAGGTTGGTTGTTTTGACCCATATTATTAATCCCAGACCCTAACCCTTACAACGGGGAAGTTAGATTTACTACGGGTTCTGGAAAATTTGACCCCCGTGTTATGCAAGTTCGCCATCCCAGATGTTGGCATTCCATAACGCTGTTATCGACCGCCTAAAGGCATGGAGAAACTTGGAGGCATAAAGGGTATGTTCGAAGCGTTTCCTATTGGTGTGGGGGTTACTGGAGGACTTAGTGGCCCAATGTAAGTTAAAATGGACACACTATGGGCAATCAACTGTGTAGGCATCGAACTTGCCATAGATGGTACCGATTGAGAAATAGGTATTGAGACCGTGGTTCCCTCTATCGAAGATGCTAGGGTAGGTTCTCCATTGTTTGATGTATTTTGAGAATTCAGATTATTTAACTGACTTTGATTCGTCATTTTCCTCGTGTATCTTCTCCTTGGTCTATCTTTGTTAGTGATGGCTAATTTATCACTTCTCAATAACATACAACAGAGTTTAGCAAAAGAGAGTCAACAAACGTGAAAATTTTGTAGAATTTTTAAAAAAGAAAAGCCGTTAAAAATATCACTAGCACGGTCCCACTGAGCATGCCAATTTGTTTACCGGGAAAATTGGTAAACAACCGTTGGTCTCCAAATATTGGTTAACTTACAGGATCAACTAGTGAATCCTAGGACATGTGGTAATGTATTTTTAAACTAAAATTTGAGAAACAATGAACACTTCGACAACATTCATGATTGAAAAATAGGGTAATTCGACAAAAGAAATACGTTGCGAGAAATTAAATAAAATGCTGTAAAATGCGCCAAAAGGAACTTATGCAATAAAGAAGATAAATTTATGGACAAAAATATAAACTAAATTTGATTAAATTGAAAGAAAATGGTATTTTATCAAACATACATTTCTCAACAACTATTTCTCTACACATTGGATACATTGAGTAATTTGAGTGACTTGAAACTTGATCGCACATGAAATCCTACCACTAAGACCTCTTATTTATATTGAATTGAAATAACTGCCTCTAACGGCTTTTCTCCTAAATCGCAACAAGTGGCACTCGGCATGTCTTCAATTCCTTAATGTGCTCCACGTGTCTTGTCTTAAAACTGGATAAGAACAAAATTCTCTCCTTTATTCAAATTTGAACCTTCTCGTCGAACTAAACCTTTAAACTTAGATAATTTATGTAAGTCTAAACAATCATTCTTTCTGTCACAAGGGTCACTTCGACTAAGTTTCTATAAATAATCTATCCAGTTGAAGTCTGCCATAACTTTCTAAAAATTTCTTTTTATTTATTTATTTCACTAACTTAAATCAAACGTCGAATTTACGAGTTAACACCCACATTATATAAACAGATAAATCTTAAAAATCATTATATAGCACGACTCTAGTCACCTTATAAAGCAATTTTTGTAAAGTAAAGCCTATCATAAATATTTATAATAATTTCTGAAATACAATTTGAAAAATGTGCAGGTTACTTCATACACATTGGGTTGTATCAATCCATTTACTAGGATTTTTAAGACTAATATTAAAAATAATTTATTTGTCTGTCAATCTATTTACTAAGGTTGTTCAAACTAAATTTAAAATAACCTAAAATATTTTTAATATGAAAACTAATTTTTGACTGTTTAAGTTATATTGTGAGTTAATTGTCAAATTGCATTTAAATAACACCTAAATAATTTAAGGGCAATGTTAACTTATATTTTAGAACATACATTAAAAAAATTTATTTTAAAAATTATGCATTGATTTTAATAAAAGTAAAAACTTATTTTTTTAATAGAAATTTTTTATAAATAAATTTCTTAATTTGTGTCTCAAAATACAAGTTAATATTATTCATAGTTTAAATCAATTTGATTTTAATGGTAATTTCAATAAACAGTCTATATATGACCCAATCATTTTATATTTGATCTAACAAATTATCAAAATTAAATTAATTTTATTTAATGATAAACAATACATTTTTCATATTAGCATTTTATATTCCTTCATTGAGTAGCTTACACAAAAATTTAAACATCGAAATTGACACGTATATATTAAGATGGTAAAAATATTAAGCTCCAAAATTTAAAATTCACATATACATTAAATTTTTTTTTAAACATGCTCTTATTCATCATTTTTTTATTAATTAATCATTTAAATATTATTAAAATAAGGGAAATGCTAACTAATGCTCTCAAGATATTTTTTAAAATTTTAAATAGTAAGTATTTATAAAAGTATGTGCAATAAAGTATAATAATGTGAATTGAAAATTGAAGTGTTTGATTTTTTTAAAGAATAATTTCTTAATATAGAATATTTAAATAGTACCTGAGAGCACTGGTTAGCAAGACCCTTAAAATAATTGCTATTTAAACATTAAAAAAAATTGACATTGTATGTATAAAATTAACTAGTACCTCATAATGAATGCATCCCTGTATTCAAGAATGGTGTAGGTGGGGCGGGGGATTGTTAGAATTTGGAGTATTTAAAGACAAGAGAGGAAATGCATAGCAATAGGCCACAGCAAGAGTAGGGCATAGCGACTGCAGCTACCGTTTGGCTTGCATTAGATTTGGCAAAGACCGCAATAAAGAGGGGAGCGGTGAGGGTTCTATATTAGGCGTGCCCACCTCATCATTTCATTTCATCGCGTC